CCCCAAAACCCCAAAACCCCAAAACCCCAAAACCCCGGGTTTATAAAATTTTATTGAGGTGAGTATTATGTACACAAGTGGTGATGAAGATTGCACTGTAAGTTGAGAGGAGGTGTCATGGGAGGGAAACAGGCTCCTGAAGTGGGGTGAAAGTGGTTTTAAGGAGGTTTTAAGGAGATTTTGGGGGGTTTAATCGTTTTCTTTAGCCCATTCCTGATGAGTATCATGAAGAAGAAAGTAAGTGTACATTATAACACCACTTTACTGTAATTTTTACGAAAGAGTGAGTGGGTATAATATTCCAGAATTTTATGGATATGTAGGATATGATTTATAAAAATCTGAATCTATCTGTTTTGGAATTATTTTTAGAAGCTCAGTTCAACAGAATAACTTGAAAAGTACTTTTAAGTCGTTTGCCATACAAAATTTAAAACCCTCAATTTTCACCTAAGTTCATGCAAAATTTATCTTAAAAACGATAAAAATTTCCAAAAATTTAGTAAAGGAAGATTCATGGCAAAACTCTTCAAATTCTGACAAAGTTTATAGAATGCTCGATAAATGCTACTGTTCACGAGGAGCTTAACAAGAATGACATCTCGTCAAAGAAAGGGAACATTAAGTATAATGAGTACAACAAGTTCTTAAAAGAACTGAAAGAGTTAGCTAAACCATCGATGCCGATGAGGCCAAAGCCCAAGAAGCTCTTTGTACCAAGACCCAGGATGAAGAAGTGGAACACTAGAGACTGAAGAGCAACTAAAATTGACCACTTTAAGTTCAACAAACCTCCTCTTGGAAGCAGGGTTAGCCAAAATAGCTGTTTTAAGTTTGGAAGTTCTCCTAAACGTAAAAATCAAAAGCCTAAGAAGCAAGTTCGGAAAAATTTTTCAACAGATTCCACATTCAGGTCCCAAAGCAATAATCCCCGAAACCCCAGGATGCGTAAATGGCTGACTAAACCAGTCATAATAGGGAGGACTCCGTCCAAGTACCGAGTTGTGTATGAAAACAATAAGTCTAGGCTACTCTTAGAAGATAGTGATGAAGAGTTTCGAAATAAGCATTGCCGTGTTGCGTTCATAAAATAACTTGATCTAAATTATCACTTATTAGAGTTACACCCCGAGAAATGAATTTCTGATGAGAATTATTTCATCAGGAAACTATAAGTTTCCTAAAAGGCGAAAATAGCAAGATACGGCTTGCCATCAAGCCGTAAAACTTTGGCCAGTTCTCCATGTTTTGGGAAGAAGGATGTTCTTATTAATAACAGTCATCTTAAATTTGAAATTTTTCTGGAATAATTATATGACTGTTTATTATATCTGTCAAGAAGCAGAGTAAGACTGCAGTAGTCAGCTTTATTCCGGACTTGTAGAGTACTGAATAGAGAGCTCTTTATAAGTCTTGAGCCTTGATGGTATTAATCAATGTAAGCATAACCGAAGTTTTCGTTTTCAATAGATACAACATATCATCAATTAGATCCACCTGGATCTGTCATAGGCTTAAACAACTAAATATTTTTAGTTAGGAAATGTGGTTTAGGAAATTACGCTCCAGTAGATTGGCACATAAGAAAATCATTTCTTTCAGTGTTAAAAAATTTATTATTGCAGATTCTTGAATATTATTGTTCCTAAGAAAACTCATTTGCGTTTATTAAAATATTTTATACCTCCTCGACAATAGCCTAAACTGCTCAAAGTTGAAGTGCAAGAATTGGTTCTGAAGCTGTGTGTACAATATCACAATTCCCAAAAAATATCAGTGCATTCTCAATTTAGGTTTTTGACTAAAAATTCTGGAATCAACTTAAAATTAAGAATTAGCTTTAAAATTAGTTATTTACCCTCAACTCTTTATTATACAAAGTTTGGTATTTTGATTACTTTCTTATAAAATGTAAATTCTTCATTAACATAATTCATAAGCCAGGATAGGCTTTATTAAGGAACAATCCTGGGTTAAGTAATAATTAACCAGAAATATTCAGCCAAGATGCTCTAGCGCTTGCAAAAATTTGGTCAACTCATTGTTCTAAACTCATAAAAGCTGTTCCTGACAAAGGTTTTAGCAATGTTGGGATTTTGAGAGTCTCTCATGATGTACTAGGAGTAAAGAAAGAAGTTTATTAAGACTCTTTAACATCAGAGCTCCTATCTCTGAGCATAAAAGACTTCCACTGGGAAGAATAATTATTTGGAAATCGCTTCCTTCTGAAGTGACTCTGGTTACTCAAAGTTATACTGTCGACACTTTTTATTCAATATTGTTAAAACTTTGACACCTTAGCATCAAACAGATATAATGAAGCTGTTATACTTTTAAGGAGATGTGCTATTAACAGATTACGGCTCATTAAGACTCTCATTAAGTGACATGAGCACATCATTCTTTGTATAATCCATTTCACAATAACTTGACCAAAAAGTGATATTTTTAAAAGAAATTTCAGGTTTACATAAATCTGAAAGAGGCTTAAAAGTACGGCTTAGTAAAAATAGTTTAAGCTGCATGAGATCAAGATGAAAATAGTCTATTTTGAAATAGGAATTCTTTTGTATCTCCTGTGCCCCTTAGATTTAGCAGCCACAGCTTATCACTAATTAGCGATATCAATGCATCTTGAAAAATAAGTCTGAAGTTTGTATGAAATCCTCTGTCTGCTTTTAAGATAGACAGAGTAGAGCTTTGTTACAAAATCTTCCCTGGATGAGTAGTACCTCATTAATTCAATCCAGCATCCTTCATCCTCTCTATTATGACGACAACCTAACTCCATATTGAATCGCATTTCTCAATAGAGTCTTTAAGAAAAGGGGTTTTGGGGTTTTGGGGTTTTGGGGTTTTGGGG